AAATACAGAAAAAAATAAAGAAAAAAAAAATAAATAAAAAATCCCAACATAACCAGAAATTCAAAATGGAAATTAGACACTTTTTAACAGTGCAAGGACATGCTCTCCTTGGAAAAGGCACATCCAGGAATGATTTTTGCAATGATGTTGCCAATTCTACCACAGAAGCMTTCCTTCACTGCAGACCATTCTGACTTACTCATTACTGTGGGAATTTGGTATTGTGCTGCCTGATGGCAGAAAATAAACCCTGATAAAACTCACCCCAGCACTATGAACTTTCTTCCCAACCTTTCTTCTCCCTGACACCTCAAAAATACAACATTGAACTGGGTAGTTMCACTGGGTGAAAATATTTCATGTCAGTTGTTTATGAGAGCAATTTATTTTTGCTGTGTAGATTCTCATATTAGGAATACCTGATAAATGGCAAAAAATAAAAAAAAACACCAAAAAAATTGCCACAAACCAATGCAGAATGCAAAAAARAGTGTGAGATGCTGCATTGATTCTTCCATCACATTGCATCAATCGTGATCCAGCTCCAAACTTCTGGAGTTATTTTTATATTCATTAATATTCTGCAAGATATACTGGGGCATATGGTAACGACAGCAAAATCGAGATAATTCCACAAAAAATGCAATGGATTTCAATCCATTGATTTCATACTCCTGCATTCCTGACAATACTAAATTCATTATTTTTAATTCAATTCAGAGCTATTTTTGCTACATCTCTACAATCATGCCCTTCAAAAACTCTAATGTAAAGTGCAATTAATTTCCAAAATACTGCATCAAATAAAGCACAAATACTTGTAACTGCAAGTGCCTTTTAATTCTCCATTATTCTGGTACTACATGAACCAGGAACCTCTTAAGCAAATTATTATTACATCCCCATAAAAAAAAAAAAGTTAACTCGATTGCAGATTTTTTAATACTTTTAATGCAGCATCAAGCCTGTAATATCACAGATTAAGCAGATTAAGGATTGCAGAAAATGGAACAATTCCAGGGGATAAAAGTAGGTCCCTGGTACTGCACAGCAAATGTAATGTCATTCCTTTTACATTAGCAGCCTCCTGAAAACAGCCCACCTCATATTTTATATCCCACATGAAAAATGAGCATTTGTGAATGCAGAGATGCACATGCTTTATCTACTGCTCTTTGTGCCTTTTGGAACAGCAGCTTTCTCTTCAGGAAGTGTTGAAGAAAAACAAACACAAACTATAATTTAATCGGTGCAACTAATTAGYAGCATACTCTGTAGCTTTTATACATTCCACATCAAAGAGTTAACAAGAATAACATTATTCTTAATAATTAACAAGAAAAAAAGATAACACTTTTATGAAAGCCTTACACACTTCCCATATGGCTCTGCTGTGTTCAGACTGCACTGGTTTYTGCAAATCTTCCAATTTCTCTATTTTTTGATTTAAAAAAGAAATCACATTGATTTGCACCTGTTTTTTCTGTTTTTTGAGCTTTATCATGTTCCACCCAGAGTCCCTGCACAAACTCGTCACTACAGGGGATGTCCCCCATCCAGACCCTCAGCTGATTTAGGGAAGGCAAACATTCCAATGAAAGGTTATAAACCCCACAGTTCTGCTGGTACCAACACAGTGCAGAAAAAAGGGACCTGTTTATGCTGACAAAATACAAATTTCATTCTCATTTATGGATGAYTCTCTGCAAGGTTGCACCTGGGACTTTTTATGTGGCCTTATCTGATCGATTGCTGTTTGCTAAACCTGCTTACCTGCTTCCTCCAACACCCTTCCACACCATCTTCAGCTTCCTGAGACTTGGGTTACCCCATAAAATCTTAACAGAACAGAAAACCCTTCATGGCTCTCTCTCACTGAAGAGAGGTGGATGTTTAACTCTGCATAAAGCTGCATTTCCACTCTGGAACATGCTCAGTTTAGGCTCAATCCTCTTGGAACTGAGCTGCTGGACAAAATCTCTAATCAAAAAGATGAACAAAGGCAGTGTTCAGAAGATCCTAAATCTTTAAGGCAATTCTTTTTCATGAGGACACCAAGAGAGACCTTTCTGACCTTGCTGTAAACATTGATCTTACTATTTCCAAGGTT